AAATTAAATTAAAATGAAGCAAAAAGATAATATAAAATAAAGTAAAAAATAAAATAAAACTACAATACAGAAATAAAATAATATAAAGTAAAATATAAAAGTTAAATTAAATTAATTTGAATAAAAAAAATTATAAAAACAAGAAACTAAAATAACATGAAATAAAATAAAATCAATTAAAATAAAAAAAATTGATTGAAAATACATTAAATAAAATTTAATTATATATTTTGTGATTACTTTTTAAGTGAATTTGTTTTTTTATATGAGTTGAATATTTTATTTTCATAACATTAAATTAAATTAATTGAAAATTAAATAAGTTTAAAATAAATAAAAAAAAAAATAAATAAATGAAATAAAAAAATTAGAATAAGATAATAAAATTGATAAAAGCAAACTTTATTTATTAAATTAAATTAAATAAAAACATAAAAAAATAAATAAACTTCAAAATAAAATAAAAATAACTAATATAAAAAATTTAATTGAAACAACATAAATCAGAGTTTTTGAGTGAGCCTGGTTTGTTTGTATGAGTTGAATATTTTTGTTATATAACTTTAAATAAAATTAAATAAAAATTAAATAAATTTAAATAAAATAAAATAGTATTTAATATAAATTATTAAAAAAAATTGTTAACCCGCCTTTCCAACACCCTGTTTTAGGCAATTTAAAAATTATGATTGAAATAATTTTATAAGCGGCAATTAAGGTAATCATAGGTAGGCAGTTACTAACGAGGTCTTGTCAAGTGCAACTCTGTCATGCTGACAAGAATTAAGTGGCAAAACGCTGCACTTTACAGCCAATGCTATGGTCAACTACATTTCTGCTTGTCCATTGTATATATATATATAGCCGATATGTACATATGCCTACATATATAGTAGTGTTCTTTTAAATATAAATATTTAAGTAAATATTCGGCCTAGACTTAAGCAAAATGATTAAAAAGCTAGTATTACTGGTAGTTGACTTTGTACATATGTATATATGTAAACATACTATATACGAGTACATATTTACTTATAGCAAGTGCCATTAGCTTAAATGCAGAACCCTTCTTACTTTGTCCGTTTGTTTATTTACATGCATTTATTGCCATACATACATACATATGTGTGTGTAAGATTTTTTTTGGAGAACTGGAAATCAAGTCTGCAATGGCTGTGGTGAGGCGTTGAAAGAATTTCAAGTTAATGCTACTGTGTTTATTAGTTTTAAAATATTCACAATTAAATATTTGCTCGCATTTTCATTGCCTTATGTGATATAATTACATGTTTTGGCGTTCATTAGTTAACCTTGATCATTGATTTGGTTTACTCTAGCGGAAAAAATCGAATACGATTTTTTTTAGTATCGTAAAGGAGTTCGGTTGTGGGCTGATAGTATAAAGAAAATTTACGTATACTCGTATGATTAACAAATTGTAAAACGAGCTGCATTAAAGTATTTGAATTTTTCGAACCTGGTTTCGTTGAAAATTGCCTGATATTCGGCACAGTGTTACAGGTTGCTTTACGTATGAAATGTTTCAAGTACTTTTAAAATAAGTCAAAGATACACAAATCTTGCAAAAAAAAATTTACTTTCAATTTATTTGATACTGTTAAGCAATAACAATTCGTATTTGTTTGTGGCACTTCTCGCTCGAAGAGTCTTGTTTTTGAACACGATAGCGATCGTAGTTTTCATCTGAAACATAAAAACGAATACTTACTTTGTAGCTTAGGAGTTGTTCTTCTATGTGAACCTAAGATATTCGAAGAAATGTATAAAATTATTTATTTTATGACTGTTTATAAAAAATTTTGCGTTGTTCTGAAGAAATTTTAAGATAATTTATTGAAAAAAAGTTATTAAAAAATTTTTTTTCCCTGTGATTTTTTAGATTCGCATGGAAGCCTACACTATTAGCTGTAAAAAAAGGTATCACTTATGAAAATGCGACAATTACAACTTTTTTAATTGTGTGCACGAGACAGAAAAACACTGTTTTGAGAAAATCGCGTTCAAAGTTCTCGCGCCCGCTTATCAGTCTCCTGAGCGCATTGTCTCTCAGAAGCCATTTCTGCGGAACGATTAAGAATTTGACTCTGAAATTTTGTGGAAATATATCTGAATATATTTCTAATCGAATGATAAGTTTCCAAATATCGATGTTTTGATCCTCCAAACCAGGCCCTTAAGATGTTGGAAGTGACAGCATTGGATCAAAATGAGACGTTTTCAACCATAAGAGTTTCTCTCAAAGTTTTTGCAAGTTCCATGTTTAGTGTTCCCAAAATTTTGTAATCTTACTTATACTAATTTACAGGGCAGAGTTTAAGGGGCTGCATTTATCCCCTCTCATGATGCTACCCTGCGTCAACTATCAACAACATCGATTATACTTCCACTCGTTTTATGAACTGTTTTAATTTTTTCCAGCCATGGAATTAGATTGGAAGATATTAAAGAAATCAATGCCCTTCTAAATTAGTCTAACTAAACTTCCCGTTACAAATCCTAGTCTCGAGATGAGCTATGGAGACATCTCTAAATATAAGATCTAAGTACTGGAAGACGGCATTTTCTTAGAAAAATCGCTGCTTATGCAAGACCTTCAGTGAATATTTTTAATTTAAATATGATTTTTGGATGGAAATTCATTTCGTTTCAAAGTTTCACTGTGACTTAAATCACTATTGGAGTTTACAAAAGCTCATATGTGTGCAAGCAAGTCTGATAATATATATATAAAGGGTGATTTTTTAGCAATTATCTTTTTGGTACATCTTCAAAGATGATGCGAATCGTAACGTAACTGTGAATGGTGAGCGCTACCGTGAGATGACTTTTTTTTGCCTAAAATGCCAGAGCTTGACTTGCATGACATGTGGTTTCAACAAGACAGTGCCACATGCCACACAGCTCGCGTAACAATGGACTTATTGAGAGGCGAGTTCGGTGAACATTTTTTTTCACGTTCGAGGCCGGACAAATGGCCGCCTAGATCGTATGATTTAACGCTTCTATACTATTTTTTGTGTGGCTATGTTAAATCTAATGTCTATACAGACAAAAAGCATTTTTAATTGACGCATTGGACGGCAACCTTGAGGCATTTATTCGTGAGATACCGGACGAAATGCTGGAAAGAGTATGCCAAAATTTCACTAAGCGGATGGACCATTTAAGGCGCAGTTGTTGCCAACATTTGCATGAAATAATCTTCAAACACTTAATTATATGGACCATACTATCGATTCAAATAAAGATTTCATGCATTTTTTTTAATTTTATGTCTATTTTTTTTTTTGAAAAAAATTTCCCATAGCACTTAAAAAATCACCCTTTAGTTACATACATATACTATATATAAGTTTATATATTATCTACTAAATAAAATGGAATCTTGCATTTTATAACATTTTTTGGCAACAAGTCGGCAGTTTTTCTTTTTTTGTTGTTTTGGCGCTACACCACCAACAACTAACCTCAGCTGCAGCAGCACGTTTTCAACTTAGCTGAGTTGCAAGCTTCTAATACTAGTTTTCATGCACGAGTATAAATAAATACTAATTTAAACATACCTATCAACTTATATATGCACACATATGTATGTCCGTATGTGCAGAAGTAGCACTGGCAACTTGGATTTAGTAGCAATGTAGGTTTTTTTTTTGTAATTTAAAAAAAAAAATATTTATTTTTTGTTTCTAAAATTTATGTTTAATTTAATTTTTTCATTGCACAGACTTTTTGTCTTAAACGCCAATTACATAAGATTACAGTTGGTGAGTGCAGTTTACGGTGAGCTGCGGCCAAGTGACCGCATGGAAAATGTTGAAATGAACTTGTGAGTAGCAACTGTTGCAATTGCTCTTTAAATCACCACTGCGCCACTGGCCGCACTATACAGCTGGCGAGATAAAACGAGACAAAATAGAATTTCAAAAAGGAAAAAAAAAACAAAAATTGTAAAAAACTAAAATTTGAAAATTGAAAAAAAAAAGTTCAGCAACCTGCAAATTGCCGAAACTCGCAATCTTTGGCAATTTTTGGCTACCACTTGCCGAGCTGAGATCTCTGGTAGCTTTTATTAGTAGCGCGTATTTCGGTTCTGCGGTATTTACATACATACATACATATGCATGTAAGCAGGCGTGTGTAGCAATGTTTGCGCACTTGATAGCATATGCTTTGGAAGTGTGCCGTACGTGCTGCCGTTGTTGCTGCTGTGGCTGGTGGATTTTTTAGAATGTTGGATTGCGCAAAGATCGCGAGCCAATAGCCAACCAAGCATCATTGCCACCACCACCACCACCACAGTGCCGGAGATTGAGTACGCGCAACTTGACTCGACTCTGTTAGAGTCATTCAGTCAGAGCATTTTTTTTTTTGGCTTGTATTTTGTTGTTGTTGCCATTATAAGTGGTTGTTGTTTAATTGAAGTGATATTGACTTTAACACCGAATTGCCAACAATTCTACTACTTTACTGTGCCACATACATACATATGTATGTATTATACATATAGAAAAGTGTTGTTGTAACCAAAATATTGGTAAACGAAAATCTTTAACCAAACCGGAAAATGCAGTACATTTCCTTGAAGATTTTGCAAGAAACAAAAAGATAAAATATGAAAAAAAAAATAAAAAAAATGTGATTAAAATGAAATAATAAAAAGCAATAATATTAAAAAATAAAACAATAAAAAAATAAACAAAAAATTATAATGGTAAAAACAAATTTATTAAAAAAAAAAAAATAAAAATAAAAAATTACAACATCTTTTTGTTGTTGTTTTCTGTTGGCTATATTTTTTTCCATTTTTTTTTTTTTTGGCAACTCAACTCCTTAGCGCACAAATTTATTCATTAACATAATATTTATTATTGTCATTTACTTATTTTCATAGATATTTATGATATTCTATTAATTAGCTTAATTTTATTGCATTGATTCGCGTTTGTATGTGTGTATATGTTTACATATTAACTTACGGTTATTGATTTTAACTCCTTGTGATATTAACATCGACAGCGGAGTCGGGCGATTCGTTAAGTTTGGCATACCGCCACCATGTTCGCCACCGACACCGCCACCGCCCGCTCCGCCATGAGATCGCCGATGTGTACCATGGCTACCGCTACTGTGGCTATTGTAACCGTTGTTGTGATGAACATTATCGCTGGTGTGGGTTTTCACAATCGTGTTGCGTCGCCCTCCGCCCGCGAGACCCAATATGTGATCTCTCGCACTGCGTCCATATCTGAGGTAGTGTTTTTGTAACCCCATTTTTTAGTTAATCTGTAACAGAAATGAAAAATATAAATAATATTAATAATTTTTAAATTATTAGACACATTTTTACTAATTGTTTGAAAGTAAAGTGTTTATGTTATATAATATATTTATGGCTAGTTATCAACTTATTTAATCAAAATTTCTTAAAAAAAATTTTAACTCTTCAAAAGTGTGAAAAAAATCAGTAATTTAAAAAAGTAGATTAACGTAGCTTAAAAGAAGATTTTTCTTTCATATTTTAAATAAGTTCGTGAAATCCACAGTTTTGATTTTTATAAATTCTGATCATAAAATCTTAGACGGAGAGGAATTTCTATCAAATTGAATATTCCGAATAGAAATTGTACTTTTACGAAGGCTAAGTTAGAGATATTGACGCGTTTAGCCGTTCCTCAAAACTTCATCTTATATTTCAACAATAAAGCTCGCAAAAAAATTTACATAACTCCTTTAAATCTTCCTAAGACGAGGAATAAATTTACGAAATTCTTGATAAAAGATAAAATCATTAATATAATATTTCTCCGTTTTAATTAATAGCTGCAGTCCGACATGCAAAATCAAATATTTATATATGTCAACACATTCCAAAACCAACCATATAAGTATGGGCATACATATAACTATTTATACTCAATATAAAAAAATTAAATTATTTAACTGGTTCATAAACAAACAGATAGTCACGATTTTAGTCGGAATATCGCACAATTGAAAACGTTCGTAAAATAATAATATCATATTTAAATACATTTGACAATTGCAATTAATTTCCAGTAATTAGATGGAAAATGTAGTTATTGATAGGCTGACCGACATACCGGGGGGCAGCTACAATAATTTTAGAGAAGATAAGCTTTTTTGAAAAAAAATATTAATAAAAAATTTAAATAACGTATTATAAAATAAAACGAAGCACAATAAATAAAATTAAAATAAAATGAAATACGGAAATATTGTAAAACAAACCAAAACAGAGTGAAATAAATAATTATAAATATAATAAAAAGAAACAAACATATTATATTAATTTTTTTTTTTTTTTGAAATAATAATAATATAAAAATAAAAAATAAATAGTAATATTCATTTAATAGTCAACAAAATTACATTATTCAACATAATACTACATGAAAAAATAAATATAAATAAATGAAATAAAATTAAATAAAAAACGAAGCGAATTGAAGCAGAAAATGTAAAATTAATTAAAAGCTAAAATACGCAATGTCTAAAAATAAAAAAGAAAGAAGAATTAAGTCAAGCAAAATAAATTAGAAAAAAATTATATTAAATTAAATAAAAGAGGAAAAAATAAAATATTATTAACTAAAATAGTAAAAAGTTATATAAGATAAATAACAAAAGAAGTAAAATAAGTTTATATAAAATATAATAAAAAATAAACTAAATAATATAAAAGGCAAATAAAATATAAAATAAACAGGAAACAAAATTAAATGAAGTGAGATTAATTACAATTATAATTATATAAAATAAAATATAATAAAATACATTAAAATGAGAAACAAAAATAAAATAAGAGAAAAAAAAATAAAATATAAACTAATCAAATAATAATATTCAAAAAAATTGAATTAAATAGAAAAATATTAAACAAAATAAATTGAATAAAATATTCTGAAAAATAATATAAAATAAAATACAAAAATTAATTAGACAAAATAAAATAAAATAAAGGAACATAGAAGAAAAAAAAAATAAATTAAAATGAAATAGAATAAAAAAATTTAATAACGCAATAATTTAAAAAAATAAAATAACACAAAACAAAGGAAAGTAAATTAAAATAAGTCAAAATGAAATCAAATAAAAATAATATAAAATAAAATAATATCAAATAATTTGAAAAAAATAAAAGAAAACCAAAAAATAAAATGTTAAATAACATATATATAATCAAACAAAACATAGTCAAGCAATATAAAACAAAATAAAATAAAATAAAATAAATAATAAAATTAAATTAATATAAATAAAGTAAGTTCAAATAAAATAAAATAAATTCAAATAATAAAAGATAAAATAAACTGAAATAAAATTAATTAAAATAAAATTAAATTAAATACAAAGAATAAACACTAAAATGGAGTTCATTTCAATTAAATAAAAAAGTTTAATTAAATTTTATAAAATATAATAAAGTAAGTTAAAATAAAATAAAACACAAAATAAATAATTTAAAATAAAAAAAATTTAAATAAAAAACCAAAACAAAATACAATAAAACGAAACTAGGTAAAACAAAATAAATTAAAATAAAATTAAATTAAGTGAGATTAAATAGAATAATTTATTATGTTTCACAAAAATAATAATAAAAAAATCATATAAAATAGAATAATATAAAATAAAGTGAAGTAAAGTGAAATAAAATAAAATATAAATGTAAATAAGGCAAAACAATATAAAATGAAATGAAATAAAAAAATTGAATAAAACAACCAGATTAAAGAAATAAAATGAGTTAAAATAAAAGAAAAAATCAAATAATTTAAAATAAAATAAAATAAATCAAAAGAAAATGGAATAAAATATAATAATATAAAATGAAATCATATAAAATAAAATAAAATTAAATTAAATTGATTAAGCTAAAATAAAGTTAAGTTGAATTAAAAAAATGAATTGAAGAAAAATAAAAAAATTAAATTTATATCAATTACATTAAACAAAAATTAAATAAATAAACAAAATAAAGTAATATAAGTATAATATAAAATTATATTAATTATATATAAATAAAATTGAATGAAAAAAACTTAAATATAAAAGGGATAAAAAATTAAATGTTATTTATTTCAATTGAATAAAACAAAAACTAATTGAAATAAATTAAAAAAAAGTAATTTAAAATAGAAATAAAGTAAAATAAAATAAAATAAAATCAACATAAAATATCCTATATAAAACTAAAGAAAATATAAAAAATAAAATAAAGTAAAAAAAAGCAAAATAAATTAAAGTTAAATAGTATAAAATAAAATAAAAAAATTAAATTGATTAAAGTATAATAAAAATAAAACGAAATAAATAAAATAAAATAGTATAAAATGAAATAAAATGAGATAAAATGAAACAAAATAAAATAAAATGAAATAAAATAAAATAAAATGAAATAAAATAAAATAAAATAAAATAGTATAGGAAAAATGTTATAAAAAAATAAAATTTAATAAAAACAACCAAAAAAAAATTGGTTTCAAATAAAATAAGAGAAAACATTAAAATTAAGTGAAAAGTTAAACGAAATAAAAACAAAAATATAAATCAACTTGAAACTTTTTTATTAAAAAACGAAAACGATTATACTTGCAATGCTAACTGCAAGCCATGAACTTTTCATTGCTACTCTCTGCATTAATTAAAAAAAAAATATATATTTATGTTTATATACATATATATATATTCAATTTTACAATGAAAAAAAAATGTATAGAGCACTTTTTGGCATTTACAGTTCAAGTTCGTTAGTTCTTAGTTCAAGTTGAAGTGCAAATGTATATGTGTACGTAATACGTAAAATACTTCAAAAACAAACTACTCGCGAAAATTCATAGCAATTGACATTGTACCCTCAGAAAGTTCTACACAGCACTATATACTACTTTACATATGTACATTGTACACATATTATCACCAATATAATGTATATGTAATTACTCGTTCATTGACTAGTTTAATCAGTACTCAACTTAACACCGCCGGCATTTGAAGAAAACTCCAAATAAACTATTTTTATTTAAAGTGTGCAAAATATATACTTAAAATTAAATTTTCATTTAAAATCGTTAATATTTTCGAAATTAAAAACTAAATTAATTTAAAAATGAAATTAATATTGTGCATATGGTATATAAATATAAAAAATATTAAATAGAAAACACTTAACAATTTTTAAATGTAAGCATATTTAATTTATTAAACTAATATTCCGATATCTTTGCATATTATACGGGCTTTTAAGCACAGCTGAAGGTGTGAAAATTTTCTTATTTGTTGTATTACTTTGCGAAAAACCGTATTGACAAAACGGAATGACGTTGTCGTTAAATAAAGTATTTATATATGTATGGTATGTTAGTGCATATATTTGAGAGTCTAGTCAGTTATCTAAACAGAAATAAGGAACAAAGAAATGTGCATTCGCATCATCGGCAATTCTAGGAATTTATAACTCAATGAGAATCTAAAATTATTATTTTTTTTCTTATTTATTTAAATTTTAGTTTTGTTGCTAGCCATAAATAAGGGATGAGGTGTTATTTAAATAAAAATACTTATGATCCGTAAGATGCTTTCAAAATGTCACTGGTAAAATTCATTCATTTCTGAAATGTTCAAAAAATGGATACAAATGTACGTGTATATATATATATATATATATATATATATATATATATATATATATATATATATATTGACGCTATATTAACTAAGCCGATTTACAAACATAATTACGTATACTTTAATTTGTTATTTTTATTTTCACATTACAATGACTTCTTATTGATGATCTAATACTAGCCTTACCATATATATTATACATGCATATCTAAGCCTTCGTATGGAACTGAAGTTCAATTTTGACAAAATTACAAATTGTTTACTATTTAACGTTAAATTAACTTTTGGTTAATTATTTGAAAATAATACTACAGTTCAATGTATCGTATTTATGTACATACAAAATATACATTCACGCAAACTATAATACAAACATACATATTTGTATAAAGTAAGATTAATTTTCCTATTTGCCTTTCTCGCATCAGCAAAAATTCTCCGAAATATTTAAAATTCTCCGTGATATTTATGAGGCGGCTAATTTGTTGCTAAATGGATGTATTGCCTAAAACTTATTTCAAAACAAAAGTAAAAAAATAATAAACTAAAGTAAAATAAAATTAAATAAATAAAATAAATAAAAATTAAATGATAAAAAATAATAAAAATTACAATGATATATGAAGTAAAAAATA